GTAAATAATAAATGTAGTTAAATCTTCTGTTAGTCTTACTGTAGTGAACACGAACACGAGCGGGGGACAATCGAATACAACATTACAAAATATATTAGTAAAATTTGAGAACTATACAATAAGGACTTCATTCGCGAAATGTCAATCAGTCATCTCAGAATTTATTGTTCCTTCACTTGCACAACAATTATTCTCTGTTCTCGTCCACGTTTCTTCGACTGTCTTAATCTTCTACCGCCAGGCATTTCCTTTTCTATTGATAATACATACTACTTATATCTATCGACATTAGTAGCACACAGCAATAGTGTCTTATTCATCATTGGTAAGTGTTACCATATTAAATATATTGAAAATTCAACCACTGGAAAACTTATAAAAATCAATGTATTCAGATATTGTTTTGATCTGTTCACTTTTATTAGCTTGAAAATATAAATTTATATCTACCATTCTCTTCTACTGTTTCCTTATTGAATTAAATTAGTTAATAAGGAAGAAGAAGAAGAAGAAGAAGAAAAAGAATTGTATTGTGTTAGAATAGTAATATTAGTTAACAAAGTAAGAAGTTATTTATGTACTATTTTACTTCACAATGAACAACATAAAAGTCTTAGTTTTATCCGGTGTTTTTTACATAAAGTAATATCTTACATTCAAGAAAAACAAAAAGGAACTTTTCCGTTCAGGTGAATGTTTCATTTTGTTTGAATTGTTTTAAATAATGTAGAAATTTTTAATTCTAAAGGTTATTGGATTCAATTTAAATTTTATGTTATTATCTTAAATATAAATCTTTCAACAATAGATTACTTTTTGCATTCTATTAGAATAAGGTCATTGAAATAACAGATTTAGTTTTCATCTAGCATAAAATCTAATAATAATATGACCTTATCGTTAATAGATATAATTTTTCTAAATTATTTTTTATTAGAAGGGAATTTGTGGAGATGGTTTAATCGTTAAGCATTCGCGTGGGAGACTGATAGGCTCTGAGTTCGAATCTCGTCGGGGGTGGGATCATGGATGCGCACTGCCGCGGAGAAGTTCCATACTAGAATGAAACGGTTGTCCAATGCTTCCAGATTTTCCATGGTGGTCTAGCTTCAATTGACTCATAATTTATTTTTTATTAAGATATTTATCACTGGATAATTTTGAGTATCGAAAGCGGGGTGAGGTGGTGGTCGGGGTGGTGGATAGAAATATTTTCTTATGGAAATAATGTCACTTAATAGAGATCTCTAAATAGATTTGATGGTGTAATCGATCAGGAACATTTTATTGTATTAAGGATTAGTTAGTTGAATATGCTTATTATATCCTATTACTAATATTCATGTTGAAACTTGTATCCAGTATCTTGGTTAAATTTGGAAATCATATATTAAATATATCATTCTCATATTTTCTTCGAGTTATCCCTTACATACATCATTATTCCTTTAATTTTATCATTATTTTGATTGTTCTTTGATTTCCTTTCTATTCTCTTCATTTCAATATTCTACTTTCATCTATTCCACTTCCGATTACTACTACATACTACTTATATCTTTCCGCATAATTAACTTGCACCACAGCAGTTCAGAATATCAACAATGAGGAATTAAAATCTTTTTACTATTACTGTAAATATATCTTAACTCAATGTTACTGTTACTTACACCTGTTACTCCTCGTGGAGGAGCATATACCACTCACCAGCGCTCTCCATCCAACCCTGTACTGGGCAATCGTTTCTGGTTATTTCCATTTGTAATCCATCCTTTTCATATCTGGTTCTATTTTCCAACGTAATGTGTTCTTTGGCCTTGTTATGATTTTACGTCCGGCTTACGATCACGTGACTTATGCACCAATCGGAATACGACTTACACAATATTCGCACTTGGACAAAACCAATGACGTTCAACCGGTCTGAGCAGTCTAGCTTCCTTAATTGGTCCTATGTCCTTCTAACCCGTCCGCTTGAGTCCAGAACACAGTAGCAACTTCTGTAGTATGAATCGAATCAGACCAAATCGTTTATTTCAGACATACTCGGTTTATATATCGATCAGACAGACCACAACGTACCATAAAATAGAAAATAACATGTGTACACAAATAAGCCAAAAAGTGACTGTGAACGCGGGAGACAGTAATTAATGAACTGAGCATAATTTAGGGACAGTAAATCGTACAATGATTAATTATAGATCAAAGTGAAGCTTATAATAAGAGGAATATAAATATACATAATCTAACTATTGAATAGTTAGAACGTAAGAATACATAGATAATATTAGTCAATTAATGTCTCAGAAGTTACTCGTGATTTAATCTTTGCTCGGATATAACAGGCCTTCCTCTTTTCCGCTTCCCTTCAGGATTTCAAGTTAGGACTTGCCTCATGATGCAGTTTGATGATTTGCATAACGTATGTCTTATCCATTTTCATCATCTTTTCCTAATTTCCTCTTCAGCTGGAAGCTGGTTTGTTCTCTCTCATAGAAGGCTGTTACTGATGGTATCCGGCCAATGAATGTTGATTAGCTTGCGTAGACAACTATTTATAAATACTTGTACCTTCTTGATGATGGTTGATCTTAACTCAATTGTTTACTGTTAAATATATGAATATTTTAATTGATCAACTATTGAAAATACAAAATAGATTGTTTCTATGGTTGATATTTGTAATATTTTATAACCATAAACATTAATTGGATATAAAGAAATAACTATTTTTCTATCCACTAGTGATTATTTACAGTATTTTATAAATTCTATTAATTATATAGGTGATTTATTAAGTTGAATATTTGAAAATATGGGCGTATAATTGTAATAGGTGAAATATTGTACAATGAATTACATGTATTTACAAACCCCCTTTTTGGGGGGATATAATTATGAAATATTTAGTGTATGATATTTTTATATTATCCTAATTATAAGCATTCATTGAATCTATTGATAATTGATAAATTACTGTTAAGTAATTATACAATTATCTTCAGAAAGGGATTTTGTAGAGATTGTACTAATTTAATCATTGAGTTCACGAGTCAATTGAAGCTAGATCACCAAGGAAAACCTAAAAGCATTGGATGACCATTTCATTCTAATATGAAATTTCATAGCATTGAGCATCAACGGGTCTCTTGTCAGAGAGTAACTCACTGAAGATAATGGTGGACGGTGGTGCAATTTCGTGGATTGGTTGAATTTAGACATTAATACGCTGGCCAAATCAGTGGTCTGGAGGTTAAGCGTTTGCGCGTGAGACTGTTAGGTCCTGGGTTCGAATCTTATTGCTGACGAGTCCCATATTAGGACTAAACGACCATCCAGTGCTTCCAGGTTTTCCATGGTGGTCTAACTTCAATCGATTCATGAATTTAACTATTAAATTATATAATTATCATTCAGTTTTGAAGCACAAATGGACTAGTTATTGTATAAATTTTAATCTTCTATTTGAGATTGTGTAACTGATGCATAGACCAGTGTATTTTTAGGTTAAAATAATAATACTAAGATAATAAGAGATCAATTTGTCGGCTGTTTTAGTATTCCAATTGATCATTAAGAATAGAAGTTGAGTGGATCAATCGATATTAAGATCTCAAGTTGCTGATGGAAGTTGCTTGTGACATCGGTCGAATCAAAAGTCGTTCGTTGGTTTGATTAGCGTAAAATAGATTGTTCATTAATGGACTATATAATTTAGTGATCTAATTTAGCTGGTATTTACGAAATTTTTAATGTCTGATTACAATTGATAATTGTGGATTAACTTGAAGATATTGGTTTGACTTAAACCGTGCAATTTTGTTCATTAACTAAATTTCGTATAGTATTATGATTAAGAAAATGCTAACGTCTTGAGTTCAATCTTGCATCAAATCTTGAGATTTCTAGTTTTCATTAGTTCTCTAATATTCATAGTTATAAACACAAAATGTTCTTAGTTAGAATACCACTGATAACCTGGAAGCATTGAATAACCGTTTCGTCCTCGTATCGAACTACTCACAAGTGCACATTCGCTACTCTCATCCAGGAAGTAAAGAAAGGACCTTCGGTTTCATTCATGGACTCTTGACCTCCAGACTACTGAACAGGCATTTAACAGTGTCACTATCTGAATTCAATCAAATTACGAACTTAAGAAATTACTATCTATTTTTTGTTTCACATCTAAGATGGTTGAATTCAACTGGTCATGGCTTTTCACTAGAACTAAAAAAGTTACATCATGGGGTTAGTCACTAGTGAGAATATTATTATTATTATTACAATTATTATTACAATTATTATCATTGTTATTATTATTACTTTTAGTATTATTATTATTATTACTATCATTATTATTATTATTACTTTTACTATTATTATTATTACTACTATTATTATTATCATCATCACCATCATTATTATTACTATCACTATTATTATTATTATTATTATTATTACTATCACTATTATTATTATTATTATTATTATTATTAATATTATTATTATTATTATTAATATTATTATTATTATTAATATTATTATTATTATTATTATTATTACTATTATTATTATTATTATTATTATTATTATTATTATTATTATTATTATTATTATTATTGGTTTACAGAGATTTATTCAAACTTTAGGATTTTTCTAGGTTAATTATCTAATTAATGTATAGAAGCTTACATGTAATTGAGTTTGTTCACATTGAATTTGGTTAAGCCCTTTTGTTAACTTATTTAACGGACAGAGTCGTCAGTACAATAACAACTTATCTATATCATTGTACCTTTAAATTATTACACTTGTATGAATATGTATACTTGAGGATTGCTTACTGCCTACGCATATATTCACTCTGCTAGCCTCACTGGTAGTCGCTTAATTGATTCGATGATTCATTTTTTTCACCATGTATATACATGTACACTTTAATCATGTTCATTGTCTCGTTGGCTCGCTCTCACACTCACTCACTTGCCTGTTAGCTTTTTAGCACTACTCTTTCATGCTTGCTTGACATACTTGTAAATTAGGATATATGTGTATGGTATAATTATAAAAACATAATCAACATTTTGTATTCACCCTCTGATTATTACACCGTTGAGGCGTTATCTAGTAACCGTTATCAAGATGAACTGTATACAAAATTTAAGGATTATATTAAATAACGACCATCACAAGTATTATTTCAAGATTTCAAAAATAAAAAAATTATCTACTCTCGAATTCATATTTGGCATTCTCTATTGAATATTCGTTACTGATTTATAATATAATATAAAACTGATATATTAAAAAGTATATGCTTAATTATTTATGACATTCATTGGGTTTTTTTTCAAATAAATATTCTTAAAACACACATAGTGATTAAATTTTTCTAAGAGAAAAGAAAAAAAGAAAAATGGAAAGAAGAAGAGAAGAAATCAACAAAAAGACAACAGAAACGAAAATAAAAAGTTTAAGATTTGCACAACATTTTCATTTTAAAGTTAAAATAATAAATTATTTAAAATAAATTATTAATTATAATTATATAAAACAAACACGTAAAATTATAATCAATAATTAGGATAGCAACAACAATAATAATAACAACAACAGTAAAATACAATTAACACAAACAAAAAATATAAAATAAATTTATATATCCATATAATAAAATGAAATATTATCAAGAATAATCTTTTATTTTTTCACAATTTTTTCGTCCAAACTTTTTTAAATTTCTTAAATGAATTAAAATAGAATTAATCTGTAATTTGAGATAATCAGGTTAGATACTACTGATTGATTGATTGATTGATTGAGTTGAAACATTCTGACATATATATATATATATATATATATATATGGTTGAATTATGATTGGTTGTGATTACATGTCTATCTTCGTACATCTATCAATCAATATATTCATATGAAGGGGAGCATATACACATGTATAGATATATGCACATAAATGTAATAACAATAATATCAGCCTAAAAGTAAAGAATATGAAAAAGGAAAATAGATAAAAAAAATAATTTGGTAAAAATGCATTTTACAGGGATTTCGAAGATTCCTTTACAATTAATGCATTTAATTCAACTATTGGTTTATGTCTTAATTCATTTCTTTTTTTTTTTGATGGAGTTTTGTTCTCTGAACTGGATGGTTTGGTTATGGAGTATTCATTGTTCTTTTGAACGATATCATCTACCTGGAGTTTGTGTTAATGATATCGTTCAGACGAACGGTGAAATCTCTATGATCAAACCATCTAGCTCATAGAATAAAACTTCATCAAAATCATCTACCTGAGTTACAAATCTTCTCCACTATCTCAAAATCATATGAGTGTAGTAAGTTTCTCATTGTTCGGAAATGGGAGAATTTCACCAAAAGACAGGATTCTACTTGAGAATTGTATTGTATTTTCTTCACGAGTGTCTTCATCAGCATGTTCTACTAACAAATGTTAGATACAAACCTTCAATCAACTGTTCAATGAGATGGAGAATAGCTGAGCAATTCATTTTTTGTTTGTTTTTTTTAGTGAAAAAAGTACCTTGAAAAATATCACTTTGTGCCAATTAGTGTATTGATTTTCTTGTCTATGTTTTCCTAATTATTCATTCAACTCGATCTGAATAATCGAGAGTTTTCTAATTTACAATAATCATTTTAGTAATATTAAAATACTGATAAGGATCAGAACTCTTATTCTAATCCTGTGTATGACACGTCTACTATTTCTTCGTTAGCCTAGCGTCCCAAACATGAATGATCATATACCTGATTAGCATCGCGGAACTTGAGCCAATAAAGTTAAGTTCCTATTGGTTCTCAAGGATTCCTCTGTGCCTTACCTTGAATTTGAAAAGTCAACAACAAGCTTCTTTTATTATTATATTTTAAACATAGGAAGGTTTATATCCAAACACACGGGACCGCATCGCATCATAAAGCGAAAAATAACAATTATGCATAAACGAGCCTAAAGTGAATGTAAACAAGAGAAGCTACGGGAAATAGGTTGGCCGTAAAATAGAAATAATCGGTGGCATAATAAAAGTTGGTGAGTTAGACAAAGGCTCAAGGTAAACAGAAAATATATACATGGTATCCCAGATACTTAGTAATTATACAATAAGTATATATAGTAATAATAAAAACAATAATTATAATTCATAAATTAGTTGTGGTAGTAACCATTCCTTCAATCTTCGTCCTGATACATCAAATATGCAGATATGTTTTTTATACCTATTCAACTTTCCTTCTATTAGATTGTTACTAAGTCATGTGTATGACCACTGATAAAGAATCTTAAAAACCCTGGGTAAAAAATTTTATTTATTCTTCCATGCTTTTTAGTGGTCCTCTTGATAATACTGATCTATAATATATATCAATAACATCAAATCGAACAACTTTCATGATATGCTTTTTAAAACAATTGCGTAATGTCCCCTTTGTATGTATTAAATAAAAGCCAAGAGATAGTTTACAAAACTTTATTCTTGAACTTTGTAGATATATCGTGTTTGGCATCTTTTTACTTGGAAACGAAAGCACATATTATAAAATTATATTGCAGTAATTTACCATAATTAGTCTACAACTTCGATATTTTCACGATTGTAATCATGAGCCAATCTAAGTTGGATCACAAATGAAAACATACATACACTGGATGAACATTTCGTCTTAGTATGAGACTCATCAGCAGTGCGCACCCACGATCCCTCACGTGTAAATCATACTCAGGACCTTCGGTATCGCGCACAACGTTGTTCATTTTTAACTTGATTCAATCCATGATCTTGAGTAACGCTTTATTCATTGCTTCAGGGGGATATATGTCTCATATTCGACACAGATCGAACTCCCTTGGTCATGGCTTCTCACTAGAACTCCACAAGTTACATCTTGAAGCTAGTCACTAATGTATACATGATCCTTATCAGTATTTTAATATTACTAAAATGATTATTGTAAATTAGAAAACTCTCGATTATTCAGATTGATATTATCAGAAGGGGTTTTGTGGAGATTGTAGTAATTTCAATGATTAAGATCATGAGTCAGTTGAAGCTAGACCACCATGGAAAACCTGGAAGCACTGGACGGCCGTTTCCTCCTATTATGGGACTCCTCAGCAGTGCGCATCCACGACCTCGCCCCCTGCGAGATTCGAACCCAGGACCTACTGGCCTCGCGCGCAAGCACTTAACCACTAGACCACTGATCCGGCACCCAACGGTGTTAATGTCTAACTTCAACTAATCCACGAAATTGAGCGACACATCCACCATTGTCTTCAGTGAGTTACTATCCCACAACAGACCTGGTTGAACTCCACTGGTCACTACTTCGCACTAGAACTCCAGGATATACCTCTTGAAGCCAGTTGCTAGTGAGCATATGTTGATTATTATCAGAAGGGGTTTTGTGGAGATTGTAGTAATTTCAGCTGAGGAGTCCCATAATGGGACGAAACGGCCGTCCAGTGCTTCCAGGTTTTCCATGGTGGTCTAGCTTCAACTGACTCATGATCTTAATCATTGATATTCAGATTGAGTTGAATGAATAATTAGGAAAACATAGACAAGAAAATCAATACACTAATTGGCACAAAGTGATATTTTTCAAGGTACTTTTTTCACTAAAACAAACAAACAAAAAATGAATTGCTCAGCTATTCTCAATCTCATTGAACAGTTGATTGAAGGTTTGTATCTTTATATAAATTTGGAATTTTAAAGGTGATCGAACATGTAATTAGAAATCGTTTAACGACAGTGATATAAAGAACATCACAGTATTCAGAAGTTCCATACTTGAACATCTAATCGATTGTACTCATTCTACTGATCCACAGTTTGATTTTAAGATCGTTTATATAGTTCATTCAAATCTACCTAGATTTCTTCGTATCTAACTCCTAAACAAATGGCCGAAGCTCTTACCATCCATGAGTTCAATCTAGAACTATGCATACAAAATAAGTTCGTCTTATCGTTATGGTTACCTTGGCCTTAATTCTATTACTAGTATTACTGCATTTCTCTCTTTACTTATGTCTCATATTCTGATTATTCTGTTCGTAATTGTTCATGATATCACTTTACTTATTATTTACACCTCTATGACCTTTAATGACCTTTAATTATTGTAACAAAAATCATTTAAATCATCTTCCTACAGTCACATTATAATTCGTTACTAACTTATTAAGTCTATTATTATTATTATTATTATTCGCATTATGTAATCTTGTATTATAATCTTCCTATAACATCATTTTGGTTATTCCTTAATCACATTTCCTCATGGAATTAGTACTTTAACAAAAAAATTTTCATATTTATAAACGACAGTACAGCTTGATAATGAATTCATTGAAGAGTGATTCCTTCGGTGAACGTCGTTTTTAGTTCATTTCAATATTAGCCACAATTAAACTATTCGAAAAAAATCTACGTCTTTGTTGAAGCTAGATCCTAATATATGAATAGAAGAGTTATACAAAGAATTTTAATTGGAAGTATTGTTATTATTAATGAAGTGATATTTCTAACACCCTGTTACAGTTTAGTAATTGTAATAACGAGTAAATATTCTACACTATGATGACTATATCGAGGCAATCTGCACAGGATGCACATATGCCAACATGACACTGGTCAATTGTAGTCTTAAATAATAATGGGAAGATACAAGTAAAACAACACCAAGTGAACTAAGAAGATTTGTTGTTCAGTAACTTTAAAGTGACCATATTTTAGTCTTGTGTCAGTTCAATAGAAATGTGAAACAATCAAATATTTTCTTTTATGTCTCATTAAAGTTTATTTACAATAAACTAACTAAACACATCTTTTCCATCCATTATATATCACTACTGATAGTCTAAAACATGATTATGATCGTGAGAATATGTTAAAGAACAAGGTTCATGAATGTGTTTTTTTTTTCAGAGATTGTACAAACCTTGACGTTCGCTTTGTTCGTTTACGGCGGAATTTTTGGAATCGCTTTCGTTTGTCCAAGATCTAGAATATTCTTGATGTGTATCTAATTGGAAAAAAAATTTAAAAAAATTAAAGGTAAACCTCATTGAATTAAAAGTCAAAGAAACACAAAACTATAATATTTACACTGTATAGAACAATTCGGGTTAAGTAACTGCGGTATGAATGTGTACACAATACTAGTAGAGACTAAATAGGAAAAAGTACTTAGACTATTGGAGCAGCTGTGAACCAATGACGTTTACTCACAGAACTTTAGCTCCTATAGGTGGGAAGGAGATTTTCGTATGAGATAAATGCTTTCGATAGTACTAAACTTTCTAGGCCGTATAGTTTAATGACAAAGCTTTCATTTTTACTCTATACAATATTATCGGTGCCTATTTTCAAAAAGTACGGTAATAAAAGCCTTATTATCAAGCCATTCATCTCAGTGAATGCAACTCCACCATAAGATCTCTGGATGGACAATAAGAATTCCAGTTGCGATATCGGTTAGTTTCAATTAAACTAAGATGCAGTCAAATTCACTTGGTATTGTTTGCTTGAATATTCTCTTTGAGGTTTAGGACTGAAATGGATCACTCTCTTATTGGCATATGTGAATATTGTGCATATTGCCTTGATATTGCCTTAATTCACAAGCTTTCTAAGCAAAGATGGATAGTGGCTAGCAGTGGAATCCAAAACGCGCGTTTCGCCCTACTTGGGACTCGTCAGCTGGACGTACCTGCATCTCAGATTTGATGGCCTTTGAAGCGAACAGTACTGGGCTAGAATCTCAGAGTGAACGTCAACTCTGAGAAGCAGGTACATCCAGCTGACGAGTCCCAATGGGACGAAACACGCGTTCTGGATTCCACTGCTAGCCACTATCCATCTTTGCTTATAAGATGCAGTTAGCTGTTGATTTATTTAAGTACTCACTGAATAGCATGTGAAGTGCTGGTTATAACATATCATCATATTTTTTAATACCGATTAATAGCCAAATGTATACAAACCGAAATCACTGTGTAATCTTAAAATATTATTCTTTTAACTACTCACAATTATGAAATTTAATAATAACTCATTTTTTGCAATCTACAATATCTTTATGGGTTTTACTAATGTTAGAAATGATAATATAACTTTAACATATTTGAAATCACTAGGTCCAAAACTATACAACACGTCCGTTGTGAGGTAGTTACTCGCTGAAAACAATGATAGACGGTTGTGCAATATCATGGATTGGTTGAAGTTAGACGTTAACACCGTTGGATGCCGGTCGGCTCAGTGGTCTAGTGGTTAAGGATCCACGCACGAGACCGAGGACCGAGGGTTCGAGTCCCTTTGGTGCAGGACCGTGGATGCGCACTGCTGGAGAATCACATATTTGGACGGAACGGCCGTTCAGTGATTCCAGGTTTTTAACGGTAGTCTAGTTTTAATCGACTCATGAATTCAACTATTAAATTAATCATAATTCTGTAATTTAGATTTGCACCATAAATGTCTTTATCAGGTATATGTTGTGAGTTCTTGATAATAAATTCGTATATTCAAACTTCTTTCCTGTCTATTTTTTAATTTCGAGAATGTCACAAGACAGTCTTTAATTTTCAATCTATTTTAACTAAATAATTGTGTTAATTGATTAATGTACTGAAGCCACTGCAACTTACGATGGTAAAAGTATAGAATAGGTATAAGCCAATCAGAATCGAAAACATAACTTCTAGGTGATGGAGCGAAATTCAAAACCCATGGAAAATGTAATACTTTACATACGTTTAAAATGATAATAAAAATTACATCATGACATTATGAAGTAATAGTGATGGTAACAAACATATCATATGCTTAGTATTGTCTCTATAGATTGTATCTAACAGATTGTAGATTGTATCTAATACTGTTACTAAATCATAACCTCATACTCATTATCCTGAAACAAATCTAAATTTTTTGAGGTTATATTTTGTAGATGAACTAATCAGATAACACCTCTTGGATTTTTGAACGAAATTTATCCATCCATATGGTTGTAGAGCATTTGCACACTATATGTGATGTCAGTTTATAGAAGTTATGATCCAAAACCCAAAACCTTTCACCATGAATTAATAACACTGGCTAAGAACAGAAAATGAACTCTCAGCAATCTATTTTCGTGCTTATAAAGGTCCGAGGATACTGAAAATCTGCATCTGTATGTTGGTTTTTTAATATACATTCAGAGTAACTTGTAGAGGAAGCGATTATGTAACACCTTGTTCCATTAATTATCTATTCAGAAAGGCTGTCTCCTGATTGGTAAAGGCTGACCCATAATTAGTATCGATTGATATAATCACATCTTTACCTTATGTATACTCTTGCTTCTATGACTAGGCTAATTACCACAAAATCTGAGATAAACAATCCAGGTTAAATGTAAATTTTCAATTTGTTCTGGTCTTCGGGAAATAAGAGTTGAAATAGAACTCACACATTGAATTTATTAATCCATGAAAGAGAACAGAATCTGAGTAAATCACTTACGGGTAGAAAAGGATACATAAAAATCCAACCTAAGGTTTCCTTATGACGCTGCTGGATATTGGGAGCAACTCTGTCAGCCAACTTAGGCGGTCGCAGAGATCGGACTAATCACCCACTCTGTTGTAATCGATCAATTCTGGATTCTATATTCGGAACTCACTTTGTCTCTCGAGCTACCCGATGTGTATGCTTATGTGTGAGAGTTTCAGAAGTTCTCCGACTTATGTGGTTTAAGTATATAGGTATATGCAAAGGGTACACATACGGTGTCGTACAAAGGAAACCTTGAGCTGCAAAATGTCTACCTCATGTCTAATAAAATCAGCGGCCTATCTATCAGGTCAAGGACATGATAAAACGAGGTGGTAGCAAACACTAAGATGAGGCGACAAATAAACTCCGCTGAGAGAGTGCTTATTCATATGTGTGTGTTATGAACTACTGGGGTGGTAGCCATGGTGTGAATGATATACATATAATGTGTAAGAGTCAGTCTGGCGTAGTAAATACGTTTCCTTTGGGAGCGGTGAACATCTACACTTCCAGGAGGGTGAAGATGCCTATGTGTATGCTATGGAATGTATATGGTAAAACCTGTGTTATCAGTGTGCATGCAACGTATATTTTCTCACAGCGTATAAATACCTTTATGTATGCCAAGTGATATTCGGATGAAAGTTTGTGTGCTATCTAGTACGCAAGTAGATTTTATACATCCAGGGAGAATGAATCGTAAACCTCATTACTTGTTCTTTTGATGTAATACCATTATGCATGCAAAGACTCGTTAGTCCGCATTCCCCACTAAACTACATTTACATAGTGGGTTAGCGTCGAAAAGACGCAATCCGTTCCAGAAGGACCTCCAGAACCTCTCAGTAGGTATCACCAGCTATTCTCTATCTAGAACACCGTACCAGTAAGTCACAGTTCGGAAATCAATGTGCATATGTAGATGTAAATGAGAAAATTTATACAATACTAATTATTTGATGCTAAGAAATCATTCAAATAATCAAACATACTACTTATTGAATTAAGTAGTTGTTAATTATAGTGAATATTATTGATCATACATTGTGATTCTGTAAATTTCTGTATATAATCTTATCAATCTTTAAGTCAGTAAAAACATTGGGATAAGTAGGTTGTTGTTGTTTTCCGTGTCCTAATTGAAGCTTAGATGAAAACAGTATAATTCCGTGTAGGCCAAGTAATTTTATCACTATAATCACTACTCTATACTTTGTATATATTTATTCATTAGAATAATTTAATAACACCCGGTTTTATCAAATGAAGTAACGATAATTAAGTTGGGTCTTTTTTTCTGTTAGTAACCATGGTGAGTAGTGAGTTAGCAGTTGTTATTTTTATTTATCTATTTATTATTTTCTAACATTTTATTACCAATTTCATACAAATAAATTAAGGCTATCATTATCTATTTAACTGATGACATTTCGATGGAACAAAAATTATACTGTTTGTTTTTCTTCCTATTCTAGTTAAGTCAATGAATGAAAATCAACTTCGCAGATCAATTTCGTGGATTAGTTGAAGTTAGACGTTAACACCATCGGATACCGGCTCAGTGGTCTAGTTGGTTGAGCGCCTGACGCGAGACTGATAGGTCCTCGATTCAAATCTTGAGAGGCGGGGTCGTAGATGTGTACTGCTGAGAAGTCCTACAATAGGATGAAACGGCCATCCAGTGCTCCCAGGTTTTCCATAGTGGTTTAGCTTTAATTGACTCATGATCTCAACTACTGAAAATCAACTTGTTATGTATTTTGGGAGATCCTATTCTGCTATGCTGATTACATAATTTTTGTTTTTAGTAAAGTGAATGGTATAAAATGAATGTATGAGAATTCTGACCATTTAGATTTTTTATAGCTTACAGCATAAATTAATTCCTTTTTTTAGATAATCAATCAAAACTAAGAAGTACTAGGGAACTGTTACATATTAGTATAAGATGCCTTATCAGTATATATCAACAATCTTAACAAGGATCAATCATAAAACATTCATTTCTTTTATATTGTTTGTTTAAATCTGTCCATTGATGTTTAAGAGTGCATTTGAACAGTCTCTTATTAGCATATGTACATACTGTGTGTACTGCTTCGATATTGCCTTAAGTCACAAGTATTATAAGCAAAGATGGATAGTGGTTAGGACTGGAATCCATGACACGCGTTTCGCCCTATTTTGGACTCACCAAATGGATGTACTTGCATCCTAGAATTTATGTTCACTGTGGGAATCAAACCCGGTACCGTTTGCTTCAAATATCATCACGTTATCCATTTAGCTACCGAATCCTGAACATCAATGAGAAAATTCAAAACAAACAATACCAAGTAAACTTAAACTTCACCCTATTACAGAAGCAAGTGGCTATCGGGACTCATTAGCTAAGTGGATAACGTGATTGCGTTTGGAGCGAACGGTACTGGCTTTGAGTTCTGGAGTGAATATGGAGTAAACATAAACTCTGGGATGCAGGTACATCCATGTTTCGAATGTAAGGCAGTTATCCACTAATGGGATTGAAAGATGATCAGGAAATACCGCAAGCTGGTTAAAGTTAGATGACGATTTAGTGTTAATTCTGACACGTGAATGTCACAGGTTGGGTTTCTGACATTGGTGTCGTGGATATGTACTGATCAGGAACATTTACCGGAATGAAACAATTATCCGTGATTAGATGTTAACGTTGAGTTGCTTGGGTCGTGACTGACCTCCCATACAAATAGAGTTTGCTGAATCCTTAGATATACGAGGATTTCAACTCAATACCCTATGTTCGAGGTTCCTTACACTTAAATTGATTTGACGAACTGACCACTGTTAGATCACCGTTGAAAGTCTGGAAGCACTGTACAGCTTTCAGCAGTGCGCATTCACAGCCCCGCACGTGGGATTTGAACCCAGGACCTTCGGTCTCACCCAAACGCCTAACCTCTAGACCACTGAGCAAACCGTCATTCGACGATATTAATTTCTAACGTCGACCAATCCACGATATTGCCGATCATCTTCCATTGTCTTCGATAGGTAACTGTATCACACTCGACACAGTTCAACTCCATTGGTCACAGTTCATGATCGGTTTACGATCTTAATGAAATTCAACAATTTCCACAATCCCAAATTGGAAACTATAATTTACTTATTAGATACTAACTTCGAGAGGGAATTCTCGGAGTTCCCACCGTTGATGTTAGAGAGCACGACTGATCAATCTCTACTGACATTTGTGTAGCTTGAATAGTTTGTCCCAATGTTTAAAATCTAGTTACAAGTAACATGTTAATCAGGTCCCAATCATACTCATAGAGACTGATTAAATCCATTCATTAAAATTAACAATAGAAAAATATCAACTTTTAAAGATTAAATTCATATTTCTCAAACAAGTTGATGGCTTTCCAAGCTCAGTAGCTGGTTTTTAAAGCAAAGCAGAGCAGTCTTGAATCGCAGTATAAAGATCAACCTGAAATACGGATACATTCAACTGACGAGTCCTAAATAGAACGTTAAGCGTGTCCTACTACTGAATACTTGCCAATTTTGAACTTTAATAACTGTCATTACCTTACAATATGACATTGATGGAAGAAAGGGAGAAACGCTAGTCTTTTAAGTAACACACTTTATTCATTTATTGATCGATTAATAATCTGATTCTTAGTTAAACAAATAATTTAGTATCAGGAGGGTTTTTTTTTTGGAGATTATAGTAATTTCAATAGTTGAAATCATGAGTCACCATGGAAAATCTGAAAGCACTGGATGCCCGTTTCGTCCTATTATGGGACTTCTCCATTGCAGTACGCATCCACAACTCCGCTTCGTGAGATTATCTGCTAGGAATGCCACCATTTCTATTACTACTAAATTTCTTCTCTTGAATGAATAAAATTGTAAACAAATAAGACAATAAACTAAATTATTATACACTTACCATCTGATTTTTCTCCACCTTGATGTTTATATTGTTTTGTATTAAATGTATCTAAATTACGTAATTTACGTAAATCTTTTGAATTGCCCGGTTGAATTGGTGTAGACCATTTTATATTTTCTGGCATTTTTTTTACAATCATACTATTATCAATTAGTTGAGTATTATCATTCAACCAATCAATAGTTTTATCACGTTTTTTTAAAGGATTTCTATAATAAATTAGATTTGGCCAAATTGGATTTAAATATTCAATATTTTCAGTGTTTTCATCTGTAGGAGGTAAAGAAGAAACCGATTCTTGTAGGTTATCAGTATCTTCATCCATATGAATAGGTAAATTAATTTTTGGACCTGAAAATACTTTACGCCTAAAGTTAGTTGAATAGGATGGTTGTCTATTTAAATTAAATAAATACAAATATTGATTATCATCATCATTAGCATTATCATCATCATTATGCTCATCAATACGATCAATGTCATCTAGATATTGTTGTTGTTGTTGTTGTTGTTGTGTTTCCTTTTCTAAGTCCCAGTGATGATTGTTCCATGCATGCCCTGAAATATGAAAAAATAAACAAACGATAGAGACTTCTTTTAAAGAGTTTTATTTTTCATAGCATTTCGTATGAAATAGTTATGTACTGAGTTTTGTTAGTTACCGATGAACATAAATCAGGAAATTTAAAATCCGGATATCCATTCCTGATCTTCAAAAAAAGGGAGGTGTGTTAGGTCCCGATGAGATATAATGGATGGTAACTTTTGGGATCTATTTGTGGGCCAGTACTATACGTATATTTTTATCGTTAAATTGTTAAATAAATAAACTGTTCATAATCATGTCCCTCTTATTATGAGATTTATTTTGACCTATGAACTATTATTATACGATTTACCATTCTTGAATTATGCACTGTCTATTGATTACTAACTCCTTCATTCACAGCCACATTTGGCTAAATCCTGTACAAATGTTATTTTCCATTTTGTGGTACAATGTGGTCTGTCTGGTTTGTATATAAACCTAGTATGCTTGAAATAAATAATTCATATGGCAGAGGCTGAGGTTGATGTTCTGGGCAAAACTGGCTGTGCTAGGCAGGAATCAGGACCAATAAGACTCGAGACTGCTCGCACGTGTTTTACGCGTCATTGGTCCGTTCGATAATTCACTGCTCCCTGATTAGCGGTCACAACCATAACAGTTTTTCATCCACATTAGTTCTTTAGTTAAAACGGTAGATATAAATCAATAATATGATTCAATCTATAAGTTTCAGGTTTCCTGAGGAGACCCATAACGAGAAATAACAGCGATTAAGTAAGTTCTCGGTTTTATTCTTTATTTATTTAAAGTTAGCTGATTGTTTAAAACTAAAAGTTCATTACTGTTTCTAACTTTCTAACTTTATAGGGCTTTATTCGAATATTCAGTAATATGTATGTGTATATGTGAAAAATATTAAATCAATTAAGGTAATTCATGAGTCTATAATACAAAAAGTATATATCTTTCGCTATGTATAGCGTAAACTATGGTCATTCAAGCCTACAACCGTAGTCCTTAAATGTCGAGGAAGTTTGTAATACTTCTGTCGCTTACTTGGTTTGATGATTACTTTTACCTTTTGCTTATTTGTTCCTCTTTATCCATTTTACATATCCCCTTCTTTACTACACATGTAATATTTAACTAATCATTCACACATCGCTTATTACTCAACATTTGTAATGATCATTATTTCATTGTTAAGTTTGTTTTCCAAGGTTTTAACAAGATTATAATGTTGGAATATTTATTCAAGCTATTGTCATGTATATGACAACCAATAAATTTTTAGTCCTACTGTCAAGAAGTATTCACTCCTGATGGAGATCTAACTGAAAACAATATTGTTATTATCAAGGGTTCTGAAGATTCATACATTTGAAATCACACATTGTGGAATAGATTTAACTAAAAATTCATTGAAAACAAGAGGATATTAGAAAGTTGTTTCGTTCTGGTGTAGTACTGCACAGAAGGCTTGAAACCCCTGGATGCCAGAATTGGTTAGTTTAGGTTATTGTGCTCTTTTGCACCATTTTATGTTATTTAGTGCTACTTAGTTTTTAATAGTTGTCTAGCTACGCTAAGTGTATTATATAAACCATAACATTTAATAATATAAATGACTCCCTTCTCATGCTAATAATGTTTTTTTTTTCTTGTTAACATACCCACAGCGTGACAAGATTAGATAAATAATTAATTTTATGCTCATTCATATAATTACATGGTCATTTAATTAATCCATTTGGTATCATTATCACCACCCAACTGAACTTCTCTATTCATTTACTTATTATTACTATCAATGCTAGTCTTATTCTTTCTTCTTTACCGGTCACAATAAGAGATTTGTTTATTAGATTTCCTATATATTTTAACAATAATTTATATTAATTTTAATATCAGATGGGTTTTGTGGATATTATAGTAATTTAAATGGTTAAAATCATGAGTCAATTGAAGCTAGACCACTATGGAAAACCTGGAAGCACTGGAAGGCTGTTTCGTCCCACTGTAGGACTCCTCAGCAGTGCGCATCCACGACCTCGCCCCCTGCGTGATTCGAATCCAGGACCTATAGTTTCGCGCGCGAGCACTTAACCACTATAATATCCACAAAACCCATCTGATATTAATCAACATATGCTCACTAGTGAATGGCTTCAAGAGGTATATCCTGGAGTTCTAGTAACCAGTGGAGTTCAACCACGTCTGTTATGAGATAGTAACTCGCTAAAGACAATGGTGGATGTGTCGCTCAATTTCATGAATTAGTTGAAGTTAGACATTAACACCATTAGATACCGACTTAGTGGTCTAGAGGTTAAGTGTTCACACGCGAGACTGGAAACTCTGGGTTTGGATCCCGTGAGCGGAGTTGTTATGCATATTACTGGGGAGTCCCATTCTAAGATGAAATGGCCGTCCAGTGCCTCCAAATTGTTCATGATGATCTAGCTTTCATTGACTCATGAACTCAACTAGGATTAATTATTCAAATTTGCCGAAAACTTTAAATTATTTAACTGAATATTAATTTCTGTTTTTTTTTTCTAGGTCTGACAAATTTGTAAAATAAACATTCTTTGCGCATAAATTATTTTTACATATGGGTGTATAATTAAGATGAATGGAACATTGAAAACAATTTTTACAGTAATTTATTATATACAGACATGTAATTTCATTGTGTTTTAATTAGATATTTGGATGAGATTATAATTTATGGGCGAACCAATCACGTATAAGATAATAGGTCCCGGATTTTCGCGCGAAATTTACTCATTCATTTGGATATATAGAGTTTTTGGCACATTATAACTGATATCAGTTCATAGTGAAAATTCGAAATCTAATTCTTAACCCTAACCATCAACTGTAAATCATAATCCCTATTCTTCAAACTGCTTTATAACTCTTGTAGAGGCCAACTTCCCCCTATATCTGACTCCAATAAATAGCATCCCGTTAATTGAGTATTTAATGCAGATGAAATCTCCTAGTAGAATTATGGATTTACTTGAGATTATTCAAAAGCCTGAACACCAGTTAAAGAGATAGTTTATTGTTAAGGATTAGTAAAATCCGCAAGCTTACAGGAAACAGGGAAACCAAGAATATATGTCATTATAAATTATATTTGAAATAATCTCAGCGATTGAAATTTTAAATAATTCCAACGTTTCGTCCAGCTAACTTGTCTGGACTTCTTCAGGGTAATAATCAAAATCAATTTATAATGACTTCTTTATACTCGGCGCCCAATATCTGTCAAACTATTCGTTCTAATCTTGACGAATATTCGTACAAGAATATATGTGTTTCTGTGTGTTAAAAATCCATATATATTCCTGAGTGTTAATCAAATATGAATAAATTATTGATTGTCTGTGTATTACAACCAATGGGAGAATAGATTAAGGATTGACATGTGCTCAATCTAACTCACACAGAAAATTACATGATGGATCCAGTGTTTAAATTAAAGTGAGCAGACAAATAATACAATAGTTGAATGAGCTTACTATACCCTCATTTGATCCTAGTTATTAGGTGGACATTCTCAAGGTCAGTTTAGCCTCGCTCAAAGGTTTTCCATTAATTATAGTCGCACCGAAATTTGTTATACAGTATTTTTATACTACTCTGAATTTAAGCTTTGATTTTAATCATCTATTACTCAATTTTGTACTACATGTGATCTAGTTATGAGGAAATTTTGATTGTTTATTTAAGGGTACGTCGTGAACGTACTGCTGAACAGACACTACAAATCCGAACAGAATTCAAATTTGATATGTTCGACCGGACAAATAATAGATTATGACATTTCAGTGATAATAGTTATACACAAGAAAGAATAATGGATTCTAATGAGAAATCATGACTAGTGGAGCTTAACAATGTTGGGTGTAATATGGTTACCCTAATAGCATTGACAAATGGTTACGCAATATTGTGAATCGAGTGGTCAAAGATGTAAACCATTGGATTTTGAATCAGTAGTCTGTAGATTAAGAATCCCCCCCTAGAAACTTGAAGGTAATTGATTTGATTAGTGGTGAAGTCGTGAACAATCACTATGAGGATTCTCATACTAGAATGAAACTGATATAACAGGATGGGAAGACAATATTGCATTATTAGTTCATTGTGATTCTTACTCAACATTACTTCCGTTTTTTAATTCAATATGATGATTATTCAGTGTAGTATCAGTTTTGTTTCCCACTGTGATAATTTATTTGATAAAACATCAATTTATATGAGTGTGTTATTATCTCAGGGGCCGCATTCTTACAGTTGAAGAATATATGAAAGTCGAAACAACTTACAATCTTCAATACAAACGTCAATTCAGTCCTACTGTACGGAGACGAAAATTCGAGAACCACCGCAACGATCATCAAAATGGTACAAGTATTTATGAACAATTGTTTACTCAAGATACTCAATGTCCGTTGTCCAGATACCATGAGCAACAGCCTACTGTAGTAGAGAACAAACCGAATTCCAGATAAAGAGGAAATTTGGTAAAGACGTTGGAAGTGTGTTGGATTTACTTTACGGAAATCACCTTACTGTATCACCCAGCGAGCCCTAACTTGTAATCCTGAAGGGAAAAGGAAAAAGGAAAGACCAAAGAACATTGCGTCGACATTTGGAAGCAGGCATCAAACGGATGAATGGGAACTGGAAACAACTAGATAGGATCGCCCAGGACAGGGTTGGATGGAGAATGCTTGTAGGTGGCCTATGCTCCTCCACGAAGAGTAACAGGTGCAAGTAAGTAAGTAAGCTCAGGATAGGATATCATTGGATAAAATTAACGTGAACTATGCTCAGCATGATAGACAACATATGATTTTGTTATAACTCTGGGTATTATATATAAATATAATGTACAGAAGTATTCTTATTAATAAACTTACCAATATTAGTTTGAGTTGATAATGAAACCAAATAAACAATCAATATAGTCGTTTGAAATAAAATTGACATTGTTTATTGATTTTCGGTTTTCTGTTTTGTGCAATCACCGTAACAGTTTAATTTCTGGACTGTAAGAAAAAGCCAGAAAACATAATTATTGTTAGCATCCTAGAAAGGTTAAAATTTTTCCATATATAATTTTGTGAACTCTGCCTGGACCCCCTCTGGGGTTTCTGCCGGTCCCAAGCTCGGATAAAGGAGGAGGGTTGGGCATTAGGTTAGCGACTCTATTCCGTTGAAAACTAACTCACTAAAAAAACGCTAACCAGAAAAAAATTCAGACCATTTAAACGGTGGGAGAGAACAAACAAAATCCCAGCGGAGGAAGAAATCAGGAAAAAGCGCTGGAAGTGGGTAGGACACACATTGAGGAAAGCACCCAACTGCGTCACAAGACAAGTCCCCACATGAAATCCTCAAGGCCGAAGGAAAAGAAGAAGACCAAATAACACATTACGCTGAGAAATGGAGACAGACATGAGAAAAATGAACAAGAATTGAATAGAGCTGGAAAGGAAGGCCCAAGACAGAGTGTGTTGGAGAATGCTGGTCGACGGCCTATTCTCCATTTCGAGAAACAGGCTTAAGTAAAAGTAATTTTGCGAAAGATCATTTTCAAAAGTGACCATTTATTATTTCCAATGTGAAATTAATTCAATGATTTCACAATGATATGAAGGTTTCATATAATGAGATGATTGAAATTTTAGTGTCTTTTACTATTATAGATCGACAAACCAATGAAAGTGATCAAGAATACCATACGGACATTTCGTTTAGTGTAAAAATACATTTCAGAAGGTGATATTACATTGTATTCAATGAAGGCTGAGATAAGTATGAAAATATTCATCAAATGTATTCGAACATTTGATTCGAAAGTTGACACAAATCTAGTGGGGCTCATATTCTCTAGTAACACTTGTATTTAATTTAGGCAGATGGAGTCAGTCTGGAGGATACACCACGAAGGCCAGTTTTTTACTGTGATTCGTCAGCAAGGCATATTTGTAATCTTGGTGTAGATGATGCATCGTATGGCAAAAGAATTCACATTACTCAGCTTAATGATCTGAGGCGTTATCGTTGAGCTATTCGGCTTATGACTAGAAAAACATGACTTTGGCCACTAATTAGTGACCAGTCAATTATAAATTTGTGAGTTTTACGCAGAGAAAACTCCGAATGTAGCTCTTCTTGAGTTACTGTCGGTTCCAAGTCCGTGTAATGAAAGAGAGTGGAGCATGAGTTCAGCAACTCCATCCCTAAGAAAACAACCTTGATAAAAAACGATAATCAGAATAAACAATTTAAACCATTTAAACTCTGCACTGGGAGTTGAAGGGAGAATTATGACGGCCCATGATGAAAGCGGAGGTTCTTCGGAAGTCATATGGCCGATGCTCCTTCGAACAACCGGAATAACAATTAACATAGGTACATGGAATGTTTAGAAAATGTGTGAGACAGGGAGGGCCAGTCAAATTGATATAAAAAATGAGGCGATACAACTTGATACTTCTCAAAATCAGTATGGGATTCGAATCCAGTACCTTCGGTATCGTACGCGAACGCTCAACCTCTAGACCACTGAGTCAACTTACATTCAACGATGTTCATATATAACTTCAATCGATCCATGATCTTAAGCAAACTTTCATCCGTTGTCTGAAGTGAATAATTGTTTCATACCTAACATAGATTGAACTTCTACTAGAAGTTCAAAAAATCTATCTTCAAACTATTCATTAATGACCAGATGATTAAATATTTTCAAAATCAAAGATTCTAAATTCGAATCCTTTTTAATAAAGAATTATGAATGCGTACTACTAACGGAATACGATACTATAACCAAACAATTATCCAATACTTTCAGATATTCAATAAAGGTCTAGCTTAGCTACATAACAATTTATTCTTAGCATAGTTTAAAAATGATTTCTATTTGTTTCAAATATATTATTGTATTAACATTATAAATAATTATAAAACAAAAAAAAAAAAAAAAAACTGCATTTTACACTCAAGCTAAAAATAACATCAATGAGGATGATATATTGAAATTTCTTTGAAATGAATATGTCGTTATATTGAATGGTTCATTAATCAAGCATATATATATATATATACATATAATAATTCTAAATGGAAACTAATGTCGGTTTAAATTCATAAAAGTTAATATATATACATGATCTGTCAATGTACTTACTACTGATTAACTTATTTGTATATATGTATATTGTTAATAGTAATATAACTAATCAAGCGTAAAAGATTAATGAATTAATTAAGTAATTAATTAATTAAATTAATGAATAAAATTTACAAAAATAAAAATAATAATAGTAGTTTAATTGAATGAGTTTATTAGTAATTACAATCTAATCCCGCGGGGTGCGGGATCGTGGATGCGCACTGCTGAGGAGTCCCATACTAGGACGAAACGGCCGTCCAGTGCTTCCAGGTTTTCCATGGTAGTCTAGCTTCAATTGATTCATGATTTCAACTATTTAAATTGATTATGTAATAGAATTGAAAGATACATAAGTATGTACTTGTTATAAATTGTGGATTGTGTGCTATGTTAATGGATAATGTAATGATATCGTCAATTAGAAAGTGGTAAATTATTGATCGAACCAATGACGCATAAAACACGTGCGAGCAGTCTAGAGTCCTTATCGGTCCTGATTCCTGCCTAGTCCAACCAGTTAACTACAGAACACTAATCTCAGCCTCTGCAATATGAATTATTTATTTCAAGCATACTAGGTTTATATACCAACAAGACAGATCACATTGTACCATAAAATGGAAAATAACATTTTACAGGATTTAGCCAAATGTGGCTGTGAATGAAGGAGTTAGTAATTAATAGACATGGCATAATTCAAGAATGCTAAGTCGTATAATAATAGTTCATAGGTCAAAATAAAGCTCATAATAAGAGGGACATGAATATGAATAGTTTAGTTATTTACCGATTATACGACAAAAGTATACGCATATTATTGATCGATTAATAGATCCCAAAAGTTACCATTCGTTATATCTTATCGGGACATAACAATACTGAATAATTGAGATCAGATTTTGATTCAGTGTTTATAAGGTATTCATTATCATCAATTGGTTTATATTTATTTATTGATCATTTCTCAATATCATATTCTTCAACACAGAACCTTTTTTTCCTATCTCATATGTGATTGAGTTCAGAATCTTTAGGATTTATTCAGAGTGTACGGTTTGTTAAAGAGATTACATAATTATCAGATTTTTGTTGATATATGCTAAGTTCTTACTAGTAACAATAACCATGGATACTTTTTATTTCTTAATGTAAATTTTTTTATTATCTTTACTCTTTTCTGGTTAATTGTTAGTACTTTAGATTCCGTAATTCATTGTGTTCTTCGCGATCATATTTTGTTAATCTTTTTATACAGAATTATTTAATTTTAATACGTCTACTTGATTGACAGGTCTTTTTATACTTTTATCTTCTTTCTGTATTCCTTCGTAATGGTGAATTATTTCTGAAGTACTGTTTTATTGAATCTGCCATAAAGATCCGTTTGTATTAAAATAAGCTTAACCGTTCCGCAATTGGCAGTTACAGTAGGCTCGTACCAAACCTTGCTCACAAGACATGGTGATTTAATTACAAAACGTTATTCTATAATTTTTTGACTTTCTGATTACATATGTACATTAGATACCCACTAAATAATAATCAATACCATGATTATTTGATTCGTTAGTTTGGATTAAACTTTATCGACTGAAGTGAATTTCAGTTACTAGTCTAAATGACATGACATCAAGTACACTATTTAAGGGAGTTCGAAATAATCAACAAGAAACCCTACATGATCAATAATTATTCTTACTTGCCATCTGGAACTCTAAGAAAACTGATATTCTATGAGAGATTTAAGACTGTGTAAATCAGTTACACTGTTCATAGAATCTGATCAACATTGATTAAACAAACATGATATTGTTTATTGCTATTTAGATAGTCAGTGTAAATATTACAGTTTGTGTTGCTGTCTGTTATGTATCTGATTTGCTTAATAGTAATGTAGCAGACAGTGAAGCATATAAATGACAGCATCAATTCAATAACAAAACAACACACCATTAGTTGCCTCAAAATTGTATTTACACATTCTTAACTTATTTTAATAACAATGTCACTCAAGGATATAGTTTCTAACCGATTACCTCTTATCATCTAACTGTTTTATTCTTCATTGTATTATACAATTTAATAATTACCAAAAGTATAGTTAAGTAAACCTGAAAGAAATTACTTGAAATTCATTCATTACTATTTATCTTTAATGTACAATTTTTAATTGAATGTATGCTTCTATATGCTATAAAGTGTGAATATCCATTATATTCATTTATATAGGAAATGATATAGTTGTCTAATATGTAAATGATGAGATAACAGGAAGGAGAATGTCTGATTATTTTACTTAAAGTCTAATCAACCATGAAAAAATAATATATGAAATATAGAATAAAGAAAAACTTTAGTCTAACAACTCAGATACTATTGATCATTCTATATACAAAACAAAACAAATAGTATTTTATCAGAAGGGGTTTTGTGGAGATTGTAGTAATTTCATTGATTAATATCATGAGTCAGTTGAAGCTAGACCACCATGGAAAACCTGGAAGCACTGGACGGCCGTTTCGTCCTATTATGGGACTCCTCAGCAGTAGTATTTTCATATATTTCGCTCTTTTAAGAAAATATAAACAAGCAATTAACAAATAGTTTGCATAATCATAATCATATCAATCCTACAGTTGTAAAGACTAATATATATTGAAGAGATTATGAGATCACCTAAAAATCGGCGAACGAAATGAAGGATCAGCGATGAAACTACAAGATAGGTAAAACATTTCAGTGCGTCCCATCCATGTTAACTAGAGGGAGAAGTCCAGATTCAGATCAAGGAAAAAATTATTCCATAAGCATCCAAAAGCACGAGCAACAACAAGCACATAACTCAAGCATAAACAAAAATGTTCTTGG